TATTTGGCTATATTTGTTTTATCTCAATTACATTATAATGTAATTATAAAGTTTTAAACCTTGATATTTTTCCATGAGTCTAGTGGTTCATTTCTTATTCACATTAAAATTCAATTTAATCTTATCAATTGTATGGCCATAAAACCTTAATTGATTTTTGATTTAAAATTGGTCCAACAGAAACCGTGTTTTCAAAAAAAAAAAAATTCAAGTCTCATGCTCATGTTCCTCGTATGATGGATGAGGTTTGTGATAAATCAGTTTTATGGTCACTGTCAGTTTTTATTTTCATTTATTATGTTAGTAAGATCAATTTTTGTTGTGTTCTTTGGAGACGAAAAGACTAGTTGAACTGATTCGTTGGGTAAACATTGTAATTTGCACTAATTATGGTTTTACTTCTCGCATGAACTTTAAATTCGAGGTCTTGCAAAATTCTCTCCAATACCTCTACATAATGTTTTCACATCAACCAATTTTGTCATCAAGTTTATACGTTTTGACGAAAAGAAAACAATAAAATAATCCATTTTAGTATTAATGATAAGGATCCTTTCTCACATATTACTCTTAAAGTTGGTTTGCTTTCTATCAAACTCGTTGCCTATCTAAATATTTTATATAATATTTTAAGATTTTTCAAAGCCAAAGCTACGAGAAGCTGCCATGTAGTACCGATTCTTTTGGCATTTGACATTCGAATTTATCTATTGAAAAGAAAAATAAAAATTTTGTATTAATAACTTGACAATTAATTCCAACAATTTAATGGCTAATTTTAATATTAAATGTGTTATTGTAAATTTTTAATAGTTTGAAAAATAGTTATTTTATTTGTTAAATCCAACAATATAATATACAAAAAATGTTTAAGACTTTTATTTTTACATAGGTAATTGTGATTTTGTTTTTTAAAAAGTAACAAAAGAGAAGTTTCGATAAAAAGATACCTAACATGAACAAAAAAAAGTACTGTGAAAAAAATAAGATACGATTTTAAGAGTGTCAAAGTCTGATTGGAGATATTCATAATTAATTTTTTTAGTCTCCACACCTTCTAAAGCCTATTTCTTAACTAACCCTTAATGAAGTTGATACAATTTGTAGTAGACATACACTTCTATCCAAGACTCTTGAAAAACCTTAATCCACCACAAATTGTGTAATTCCTTTTAGTCTTTACTCCTTCTAAAGTCAATATCTTAACTACCCCTTAATGAAATTGATACAATTTGTAGTAGACATAACACTTCTATCGACTCTTGAAAAAATCTTAATACACCACAAATTGTGAATCTAGAAAAACAGAATCACTTCACCAATGAATCGATGTTAAAGATAAAAAAAAAATCATAGGAAAATGATAAAGAGAATAAGACAAAAATACAATAAAACATCAATTATTCTCTCAATACGATTCAAAATTCCATTGAAATAAATACAAAGATATATTCCAACATCTTTCTTGAGATGATGCATATGTCTAGGTAAATCAAAATCATATTACAACTTCTCTGATCAATAATTTTTTTTTATGAATTTGTTTGATGCAAAAGACAATAAATAATTTTTTAGGGAATCGTAGTGAATATTGATGAAGACATACAAGTTAGATACTTGTGCCAAAGAAGATGTCTTCTATATGTTGTAGTTTTATGAAAAGTTTATTTCTTTTTTCATATAACATTGTATATGTCCAATAATTTGCTACAAGTGTTTAATCTTCTAATCTAGGTAATTGTTTACTATAAACATCAAATTTCTGTAATATTAAATACATAATTTGTCAATAAACTAGAAATTATTGTATATTATATAATATTTATTTTTATACCTACGCAACGCGTGGACAATTCCTAATATGTTATATTATAAACTTGAAAC